GTGTGTGTGTGTGTGTTTGTAAGTGTATGTGCGTGCGCGTGAGTATAGGTGATATGCAGATAATGTAAGCGTACGTTTTTCTACAACATTGTATTAATTAAGATAAAGATATTTTGACGTGTCTACAACTGTATTGTACGGGGTAGGAGCTGTTGAAATAATCTGCAGTATCACATTATTATCTGTTGATGCCAAGCTGTGGCTTATTTGGTAGCTTTTAAGCACAATGGGGCTGTCTCAAAAAATGCTGTTTTGAGAAAATCGAAGGTAAAGTTTTTGCCCCTCGTTCAGTTTCTTTAAAAGACAAGGAGAGTTTTCTCTATAACCAAACAAATATACACACCAATAAAAACCAAAGTTCTCCTATAGGTACATATAGTGCAATGCCCACTTTTGGTGTAGGTCAAGATTTTTGGAAACCCCTGAAATCTGGGTTAGCCCGCTTGTCCTCAAAAGCAACCTTTCGTTGGTGTGTATATACTCAACAGCCGTAATGCCCAACCAGACCAGATCCTATCATATCTTATTTTATATATACAGAGAGATAGAGAGAGAGAGTGAGAGAGAGAGCGAAAGAGAGAGAGAGAGAGAGAGAGAGAGAGACAGAGAGAGAGAGAGTCAGAGAGAGAGAGAGAGAGAGACAGAGAGAGAGAGAGACAGAGAGAGAGAGAGAGAGTAGATCGGGTGCATTTGATCAATGGGCGTCCTTTCTTAATCTCTCGTAATGAGGGTTAGCCTATGATGCGGAAACAATAATATCATAGGATATTGAATCGCTTGAAAGAACACCAATGAAGGTTGTCGTAACAATGACGAAATAAGATAAGATAAGATAAGACAAGATAAGATAGGATAAGATAAGATAGGATAAGATAGGATATGATGAGATAAGATGAGATAAGATAGGATAGGATAAATAAGATAAGATGAGATAAGGTAAAATAAATCTTAATTATCCAAATTTTGGCACTCTGATTTAGTGTTTCACCAAACATACACATACACCTGTACGCACACACACATGAACGCGCACACACACACACACACACACACACACACACACACACACACACACACACATCACACACACACACACACACACACACACACACACTCACATTCACGCATCATCTCTTCCACACACACACACACATCAGTACTCATCCACACGCATTCATATTTACCACGAAGTGATCCTTTGTCTTATCCATCAGCAGAACGCACTGATGTCCCTTTGAGCTGTGCAGGAGAAATATCACAAGCTGCCCCGACCTATATAAACAGCAGAACTAGATCAAACACAACCTGAACCTTTCTACTATCCTATCACTCTGTCATTGACTCAATATCCCCGTGCACATATAGTCTGATCTGATACACCTCCGATGAAATATATATCGCAAGGCGTGGTGTTTCCATTCTCGCTAACAGTACACGTCATTGATTTTTGCCTACACGAATGACGTAACAAATTCCAAGAACTGCGAGAGTGGGGTAATCGGTAGAAGAGCGAGGATCAAGTTTCAAAAGCGAGCACAGAAATACGGGGTGCCCACTATGGATGTGCTGATTTTTCTATTTATGTGTTTAGATATGCGTGATGTTGTTCCTACTTTTCCTTAAAAACGTGTTATATTAGAGCGTGTCTCCACCAAAACCGAATACTGACACTGGCAGGCCCCTTGTGTGTGATTCCATAATATAATGTCATATCCTGTAGGCCTACTTTTTCTTGAATTACACGCGTTTAGGGTTAAAACGGCCAGTCCACGGATGAGTTGACACACGCCCTCATTTGTTAATTTGGGTGGTTGTTAAGATCTATGTGCTGTTCTAATTTTGATTTCATTCTGTTGTGAAACCTTTATTTTTTTCTCGTTTTTACACTAAGTATGGCTACAAATGACATTCTGGCTGCTTAAAACAGAGCACAAGAAATTCTGGTGTTTTAGAGTAAGTTATCTTTATCAACATATTGTTGTAATATATACGTCGTCAAAGAGAGTTGAAAGCTTGAAAATTAATGGCAACTTTTTTGGGCAACTTTTGCCATTTTTGTGGGAACTTTTGGCAACTTTTGGACGAAAAAATGTCAACAAACGTAAATGCTAGGTATCAGTTACACAGGTGGTCAAATAATGTTCCGACCAACCGTTCCACATTGTACACTTTCCTTGTCTGACGGGGCGACCTACCATTACTGTACACATTGTACACTTTCTTTGTCTGACGGGGCGACCAACCATTACTGTACACATTGTACACTTTCCTTGTCTGACGGGGCGACCAACCATTACTGTACACATTGTACACTTTCCTTGTCTGACGGGGCGACCAACCCAAAATGATGTTAGTGGACGATTGCGACAACCACAAAACTACAGCAACAGCAATACATATTTTGCCACAGCAGCTACAACAACAGTGGATCCCTGGTCACCGCGATATCCTCGGCAACGATCTCGCTGATAGTAATGCCAAACTGGCAACAGCGCTGCCGGGTCCACGCCGCCAAATTACTTATGACAGTGCGTGCGCCCAGATAAAACTAATTACAAAAGACCCCCCTATATGCCACACGTGGACGAAGGAAGTATACAGGGCATTTTCCTTAAAACGAGAGGCTCTTATTATGACCAGTCATTACTGGCAAAAATCAGGACCGGTCATTTCTCTGGGCTTCGGGCCTACAAAAATAAAATAGACAAAACATCGGACCCAATATGTCCATTGTGCAGCGAGGAGCCCCAAGATTTGGAGCACTGGCTGCAGAGATGCCCCGCCACGGAGGCCCGGCGGTGCGCTTTTCCCTTTCGTCAACCCGCAGCCACCTCCCGAATCGTCAGCCACTCCCAACCTTTGACACGGGTCAAACTTCCATCTATTTATAGGTAGTTACCGGAACATGTATAGGTGAAGTGATGTGCCGTGATAGTCGCAATATATTATTTATTGAGATTGTTTTGGTCTCTCTTTACTCATCACCACGAGAATTTCTTGAAGTTTTTCCCTGGACTCTGCCTTTACTAAAATCTCGAATCTAGATCTAGATCTAGATCTAGAGTTGTAATCTAGTGGCAGGTTGCAGATTTCTGTTATCCAGTACATTCAAGGGATTAAATAAATTGGACTAGATCTAGACTCTAGACTCTAGTAATAGACTCTTCTACTTCTACTTTTAAACCTTCGAGATCACAATAAAGGCCAAGCCAAGTGTTGTTTAACATAAAGTCTAAGAAGTTAGCAAACCTAACATTTTTTTCTAACGAAATGAAGCTTAAATTGACTTTTATATTGTCAATAAAAGATCAAGTTTAATCACCTAATCATTTAAGTAAGGAAGTGGCTATCCTCACTCGGGGTGAGAATAAAAACCCTACGATTGACCTTTCACCCCTGATGAGACTTGCCAGCGTTGGCTATTCTCACCCAGTGGGAAACAAGACCTGTTTTTCCTAATTTCGAAATGCTTTCTATCGGTGTGGATGATCAAATTGACAAAAGCAAAGAAAAAATGACATTATAGCACAAACGTAAGCTAATTTGATCGTGTATAAAGATGCTATGGCTCTTTCACTTTTCGAATCGAGCCGAACTACGCGGGTCGCTATTTTGTTTTGCCCGAAAGTTCTCGCAAGATCTACTCCTCCCCCTTCTCTCTCTCTCTCTCTCTCTCTCTCTCTCTCTCTCTCTCTCTCTCTCTCTATCTGTCGGCGATTTATTAAATCTGCAACCTGTAACTAGATTACAACTAGATCTAGATCTAGATTCGAGACTTTAGTAAAGGTAGAGTCCAGGGAAAAACATCAATTAAATTCGTGTGGTGCAGATGAGTAAAGAGAGACCAAAACAATCTCTCTATTCCGACTATCATTGCTAATCACTTCGCCTAATACATGTTCCGGTAATTTAACTACCTATAAATAGATGGAAGTTTGACCCGTGTCAAAGGTTGGGGGGTGGCTGACGATTCGGGAGGTGGCTGCGGGTTGACGAAAGGGAAAAGCGCCGGGCCGATCGCCATACTCGGTCGCCTGAAACTGAAAACAGACACGTTTGTTTTTGAGGCGACCGAGTTGGGCGATCGGCCGCATCCGATCCATCGTGGGCACCCCGTATTTCTGCGCACGTATTCGAAATTTGATCCTCGCTCTTCTACCGATTACCCCACTCTCGCAGTTCTTGGAATTTGTTACGTCATTCGTGTAGGCAAAAATCAATGACGTGTACTGTTGGCGAGAATGGAAACACCACGCCTTGCGACATATATTTTATCGGAGGTGTAGCAGATCAGACTATATGTGCACGGGGATATCGAGTCAAAGACAGAGTGACAGGACAGTAGAAAGGTTCAGGTTGTGTTTAGTTTAGTTCTGCTGTTTATATAGGTCGGGGCAGCTTGTGGTTTCTCCTGCACAGCTCAAAGGGACATCGGTGCGTTCTGCTGATGGATAAGACAAAGGATCACTTCGTGGTAGATATGAATACGTGTGGATGAGTACTGATGTGTGTGTGGAAGAGAGGATGTGTGAGTGTGAGTGTGTGTGTGTGTGTGTGTGTGTGTGTGTGTGTGTGTGTGTGTGTCTGTGTGTGTGTGTGTGTGTGTGTGTGTGTGTGTGTGTATGTGTGTGTGTGCGTGTGTGTGCGTACGGGTGTATGTGTATGTGTACCTATAGGAGAACTTTGGTTTCCTTGGTGTGTGTGTTTGTTTGGTTATATAGAAAACTCTCCTTGCCTTTTAAAGAAACTGAACGAGGGGCAAACACTTCACCCTCTACCTTTGATTTTCTCAAAACAGCATTTTTCGGGATAGCCCCCTGGTGCTTAAAAGCGACCAAATAAGCCACAGCTTGGCTTCAACAGATAATACTGTGAAACTGCAGATTATTTCAACAGCTCCTACCCCGTACAATACAGCTGTAGACACGTCAAAATATCTTTATCTTAATTAATACAATGTTGTAGAAAAACGTACGCTTACATTATCTGCATATCACCTATACTCACGCGCACGCTCATACAATCACGCACGCACACACACTCACAAACACACACGCACACACACATACACACACACACACACACATACACGCGCACGCGCACGCACACACACACACACAGGAACACAACCCCCCCCCCCCCCATATATACAGACACACACACACACACAC